GTTGCCATGCTATTTGCAGCAAATATACTTAAGACTGATATTGTTTTCCTCACTACACTACACTGAAAAGTATAAAAAAGAGCGAGAGAGAGGAAGAACTAGCTTTGAAATCCCAAAACATGGAACTGAATCCTGATTATATCACTTACTACTTCTAATCTTAGCTTTTCTGGGCCTCAACTTTCTGATCTGCAAAATGAGGGTTTATAACATATGACTGTTAATAATGGCTCTTCTAATTCTTAATCTATGTTCTTTTCACCATGTTTCTTTCTTTAATGTTCTGTAATTCTGCTTCCACTTTGTCTTCAAACCATTGCTACTGCTCCTGATTTTTTTGGGGGGGGGCGGAGCACGGGAAGGTCAGCAAAGGCATATCAAGCCTCTCATTTACAATCTGTAAGTGCTCCAATAATTTAGGTTTATTTCCCAGAGGCAATATATTTTTCAATCTTTTTTTAAAACAGCAATTCTGGGGAACTTTTTGTTTGTTTTAATAATAAATTCATTTGTATCAATAATATCTTCGAGTTGTATCATTTTGCAATTCTGTTTTGTTAATTATCTGACCATCTCTGCCATTTTTCTTTAATCAGGACCATTCTATTCTCCATACTGCTTTGTTAAAACTCTCCAAAGAATTTTCCGGACAGTTGTCTCTTATTTTCTCTTCCTTTACTGGTCTGAACTTCATCTTCCTCGGATACCAAATCCTTTCTCTTGCTGAACTTATTAGTCCCTCTGGAGAGACTTGTAATAGATCTGTTTTACCTTTGGAAATTTTTTTCCCCTTCTAATGTCTTCCCTTTAAGTTTTCTTGTTTGTTTTTGCTTTTTGGTGAGGCAGTTGGGTTTAAGTGACTTGCCCAGGGTCACACAGCCAGTAAGTGTCAAGTGTCTGAGGGTGCATTTGAACTCAGGTCCTCCTGACTCCAAGACTGAAGGTCTATCCACTGTTCCACCTAGTAGCCTCTTAAGTTTTCTTTAACACCAAAATATTTATTCAAGGGTTGGAGACTCTTTCTTTTTTGCTTACTCATTTCTTTACTCTTTTTCTTTTTTTAGTGAGGCAATTTTCCTTATTAGGGCTTTAGTTTATTTGTCCATTCCTTTTACTTGGGTGCATCTGTTATTTGAAGTGATGGAGTACAGCTTGGTTAAAGCACATTCACTCATCCATCATGCCCATCCTTTTACTGGGTATTACTTATATATGTGCCACAATCTCATACTAGACCAGTGATAACAAACTCAATTAGAAACAGATTCCTGGGCAGAGCCAAGACGACAGAGTAAAGGCTGGGCCTCACCTGAGCTCTCCCCCAAAACTCCAACAAGTACCTTTAAAAATGCCTCTAAACAAATTCTGAAGCAGCAGAACCCACAAAAAGATGGAGTGAAACAAATTTCCAGCCCAAGACAACTTTGAAGGTCAGCAAGAAAGGTCTATTGCACCAGGGTGAGATACAAGCACAGTCTAGTGCATGCCACAGTAAACCAGGCCTCAGCAAACCCAGAGCAGGCCTTGGGGCAACTGAATCACTGGCAGCAGCAGCAGTTTCCAGAGCTCTCAACCCACAGACACCAAAGAGAACTTGGAAGGTCAGCAGGAAAAGTCTGAAACACTTAGGTAAGAGTGGAGCTCAGTCCAGCACAGGTCACAGCACAGCCCCAGCCCCAGCCAACCTGGAGCAGGTCTTTGTATTGCCTCAATCAGCAACTGCTGCTTCCGGATAAAAGGGAGAATAAATATGTTCATCTTCTGAGAAGAGTATCAACATTCACTGCAAATAAAGGCTAAATAAAAGCTTTCAATTTACTTATTTACAATGTGCACTTTGCTATCCTCATGTCATATTAAACAATGATAAGGCAGGGGTAAGTTGAAAATGTTCCTATGGTACTAGACAAAAAGCTTCAATGTAACCGTTTTCAAGATTCATGAGAAAATCATAAAAGGTTCATTTGGCACTTAGTCAAAGAATTTGGAAGTTAGCAGAAATCTTAGAGGTCACCAAGTCAAACTTATTGCTGGCTGACAAACTCCTAAGTGCAGCCTGGACCAGATTAAAATATAATTGGGAAATTATTAACAACACAGATAAAAATGCAATCCAATGTAAGGTAATATGAATTTGAGGTTTTCTTAGTCAACATGTGGTCTCCAAGGACCCATTTCTCTTTGAGTCTGACAGCACTGATCTAGGGCAACCTCCTGCATTTTACAAGCATTGTCATTTATACACCTCACAAGTATTCAATCACCGAACAGAAGAGACTTAAGAGTGATGGAAAGATCAGTTTCTGACAAGGGAACCCATTACATTTTTTGGATACCTTAGTCCCAACAAAGTACTTTCATATTTTTAACTGAAGTCTGTCACCTTGCAACTCCCAAGCACACTGGCTCTGGAACAGCTTATTGTTGTGGTTCAGTCATTTCAGTTGTATCCAACTCTTCATGATCCTTTTTGGGGGTTTTCTTGCAAAGATACTAGAGAAGACCTTCCCTGGGTCATTTCTGCAGATGAGGAAACTGAGGCAAACAGAGTTAAGTGACTCGCCATGGGTCACAAAATTAGTAAGGGTTTGAGGCCACTTTTGAACTCAAGTGTTCCCAAGTCCAGGCCAGGCCATGTAGCTTGCCCAGAATAACATAATGGTTATCTAGAATACCAGAAAACCAGTCTGTTCCCTTTTCTAGATAACATTCTTCTAGCTATGAAGACAATAATCATATCTCTTTTAATCTTCTCATCTCCAGACCAAACACTCTCTAACTCTGAAGGAGGCCACCTATCAAATCAAATATAACAGTAATCGAATTTTTCAGCTGAAAAACTCTAAAAATTATTCTAAGAATGATTAATGTTACCAAAAGTAACTATTTCCAAGCATAACTAAGGACTACATGGCTAATCTAGGCCCCAAACCTAAGATTCATCTTTGATAAGCCAGTTAACAGCAAAGTTCTATTAATTTTTCCTATTAATTCCTTAAAGTTTTCAAATCAAATCAACCAATATTCACTGAATACTCATTACGTACCAGCCACTGAGGCAGTCCCTTCTTTTCCATTCCCTCAGCTTTAGTCCAAACCCTCAAAAGCCACCTTGACAAAACTATGGTAATAGCTTGTCAACTGGACTCCCAAGTCAATCTGTCTTATACATTGCAACTAGAACAGAAAAATCTTCAGTTCAATTTGGCCAACATTTAAGTGCCCACTACTCTGTGCACAGAAGGGGAGATACAAAGTTAGATAAGTTGCTGTATGTGTTCTCCTATAGCTTAAATTATCACTATCAAACTCTGAATGCATATTGCAGCATATCTTTTTCACTTTACTTTTCTTGCCCTTTTTTTGGCAACATGGCTCATATGTAAATCTTTTTCATGACTTCACATATGGTAGTACATTGCTAGCCTTCTCAATGGGTGGCGAGGGGCCAGAGGGAAGGAGAGAATTTGGAACTCAAAATAAAAACACAAATGTTAAGAAATAAAAACAAAAAAATTTATAATTACTACCATCATTGAGCAATTCACAATTCACATTTACATAATTCTGTAATGAGGTCTGCTTAATATTTTTATCTATATATCTATATCTAGCTATCTAGATGGATAGATAGATATAAATAAAATCTTGTTTGATCAAGGATTTGCCTTGTTTATAAAATCTTCAATGGCTCCCTTGCAAAAGGCAGCTTAGATTCCTTTAAAGGACATTCCAAGGTGCTATACAATTTGGCCCCAACCTACCAATACAACCTTATCTCTTGCTATTACTAACACAAAGTTGCTTATCTCTAACACAAACCAATCTAGTCATGTCTATCTCAAGATTTTCCAAGTACAGCTCACTTTCTGGGCATTTCCCCCACCACTCACTCACTACCTTTGGTTGTGGCTGTTCTTTCCACAAATAAATCAACACAAATTTAACTATGTTCTCAGCCCTGGGGGGGGGGGGGTCCTGTTTGTGGGATGTAATATAAGAAATGTAATGAATGGTTCCTACTCTAGACAAGCTTGCAATCCACTGGAGACACAAGACACAAATAACGGCTAACAATGTAAGCGCACACAAGGGCTAAGCTGTATTCTACAGACTGAGGTGCTGCAGGAGTTTAAAGGAAGGAAAGAACAGGCCCAGAAGGCCTCAAGGAGGAAGGGGACTTGTGCTGGGCTTTGAAGGATGAGTAGACACCAGACAAGCAAAGAGGTGGGTATATTCCAAGTGAGAGGAACAAGATGAATGTTTTCAACATTGCTGCCCCTTCAAACATTGGGCTGACCTTTAGGACTTCTCCTAAATCTAGCCTTTTTCACAAAGCCTCCCTCCCAGCTACTCCAGCTTCATGGTTCACTCCCTTTTTTCTGAACTCCTACTGCCCTTTACTCTCTGTACCGCTCCTTTTGGCACTCAAACACACACTCCTTATTTTACCTTTTAACTGTTTCATGAGTTGGCCTTATCTCTCCCAGAAGATTATTAGCTTCCTCTAGGACAGCAGTGGTAAACATGGTTTGCCTGAGTGCAGCCTGAAACATTAAAATGCAATTGGGAGGCCTCATTTCTATTTGAGTTTCACGCCACTGCTCTAGAACAAGGAAGTTTTAGTCAGTCATATTTCAGCCCTGTCTGATTCTTCGTGACCTCATTTGGGATTTTCTTGACAAAAGTATGGCAGTGTTTTGCCATTTCCTTCTCCAGCTTATTTGACAGATGAGGGGCAAACAGGGTCACACAACTAGTAAGTGTCTGAGGCCAGGTTTGAACTCAGGACTGGCACACTACCAACTGCACCACCTCCATTTACTAATTTTGCTACCAATACATGATTTAGCATATCATCATATTGTCTATTAGCATAATATCACTGCTCCAGAGAGCATTCAACAATACCTTCTCGTTAAATTAAGTTATCACAGGTGACGTCAAATCTCAAACCAAACCTAAAAATGGAATTATTCTGATTTTATTTCTTATCTTACCTGACATCTCCTTTAGAAAGATTAGTATTTGCAGGGTAAAGAATAACTTTATTTGCATCAACATCCACCACACATTTGGTATGCAGGTCAAATTCTGTAGAGGAAAAAAATATGAAAAACATGTTTATTTTAAGCAATTATTGTTGCTGAGTCATTTTTTAGTTGTATCAGACTCTTCATGACCCCATTTGGGTTTTCTTGGCAAAGATATTGGACTGGTTTGCCTTTACCTTCTCCAGTTCATTTTACAGATGAGAAAACTGAGGTAAACAGGGTTAAGTGACTTGCCCAGGGTTACACAAACAGTAAGTAGCTGAAGTCAGATTTGAAATCCTGACTTCAGGCCCAGTGTCCTCATACTAAATAGCTTTAACAACTTCAAGTTCCTACAAAGGTTTCTTGAAATATCTGTTATCTACATCAAATCTATCATACTGAAAAACAAATCCAGAACGGAAAAGGAATCTTTCAAATAGAAGAAAATAAAACTAACTTTAAAACCATCCTACAGAGGATGACTAGCAGGCCATGTCTTAATCTGTATGGGCATTAGTACTATTGTATTAAGATTCAAAGAGTTAATTTTTATCTTTCTTTCTTAGTAATACCCTATTAATAGGGTCCTTTTAAAAAAAAGGTGCCTTTTGTTTTTACTTCACATTAATTTCCCATACATCCCAAGTCGCACCATCCAGAAAGCATAGATTTTTTTTCTAATTCACTTGATGTATGTATAGCCCCTTCCTTTACTCCTGCCAAAGGCAATCCCTAGACGTGCACCTTTGATCCCATACCCTGTCTTCCTCAGCATTTCAACCATTCTCTCCCTCTAATCTTTAGTCTTTCAATATCTACTAGTTCCTTCTTGCCACCTACAAATGCACCGAAGTCTTCTCATTCTTAAAAAAAAAAACTTCATCATATATTACCATGCCTGCATTCAATTAATAGCTTCCCTTCTCTTCTCACCTAAAATTTTTTACCCTCAAAAAAGATGTCTACATTTGGGCATCCCCACTTCATCTCCATTCTTTTGTAAACTCTCTGCAATCTGGTATTCAGCCCCATCATCCAAATGAAAATGTACTCTCAAAAGACACCAATGTTCTCTCAATTCCCAAACCTAAGGGACCTCCCCCCAATTCTCATTCTTCTCAATCTCTCAACAGTATCTGAAACTACTGAACACCCTCTCTCACTTCCTGAATGAATACTCTCTATTCCATGGGTTTTTATGACACTATTCTACTCTCTCAGTTCATCTCCTGTACGCCTGACCTCTCTTAAATATCCTTTGCTGGACTTTTAACCACATCACATCCACTAATTGTGGTTTATCTCTAAGGCTGTGTTCTGGGTTCTTCTTTTCTCAGTCTATCTCATGTAGTGATCTCTTAAACTCATTGTGTTTTAAGATGTCTACTGGACAACCAGTTTAAGATGTCTGAAAGGCATCCAGAGATACAGGACTAGACATCAGCAGAGTTTAGATCAGAATAAGCAAAACTGAGAATCAACAGCATAGAGATGATTTAAAGCCACAGGAGCTGAAAAGATCATCAAGCAATGTAGTAGTATATGGAGAGAAGAGTAACTAGGACAGAGACCTGTGGAACACATGGTTAGAGGGCAAAGATATTGGACTGGTTTGCCTTTACCTTCTCCAGTTCATTTTACAGATGAGAAAACTGAGGTAAACAGGGTTAAGTGACTTGCCCAGGGTTACACAAACAGTAAGTAGCTGAAGCCAGATTTGAAATCAGGAAGACAAGTCTTCCTGACTTCAGGCCCAGTGTTCTCATACTAAACCTGGATGAGGATCCAGCAAAGAAGATTGAGCAGTGGTCAATTGGGTAATAGGAGAACCAGGAGAAAGTGGTATCCTAAAAATTTAGAAACAAGGGGCAGCTAGGTGGCACAGTGGATAGAGCATCAGCCCTGAAGTCAGGAGGACCTGAGTTCAAATCCAGCCTCAGACCAAACATTTGACATTTACTAGCTGTGACCCTGGGCAAGTCACCTAACCCCAATTGCCCCAAAAAAACAAAACAAAACCAAAAAACTCAGAAACAAGAGAGTATCAAGAAGAGGGTGATAAACAGTGTCATAGATTGCAGAGACGCGAAAAAAAAATGAGGATTGAGGAGAAAGCCATTGGATTTTGGGATTTGGCAATTAAAAGATCACTGGAAAAAAAAAAGATCACTGGTAACCTTGTAGAAGGGCAGCTACATGACACAGAGGACAGAGTGCCAGGTCTGAAGTCAGGAAGCCTCATCTTCCTGAGTTCAAATCTGGCCTCTGATACTTACAAGCTATGTGACCCTGGGCAAGTCACTTAACCCTGTTTGCCTCAGTTTCCTCATCTCTCAAATAAGCTGGAGAAGGAAATACAAAACACCCCCATATCTTTGCCAAGAAAACCCCAAGTGGAGTCACAAAGAGGCTGACATGACTGAAATGACTAAACAAAAAAACTTCAGAAAGGGCAGTTTTGGTGGAATGAGGTAAGAAGCTGGACTGCAAGGAGTTAAGAAGAGCTGTCTCTTATAGACAACCTTCCCAAGGAGTTTAGCCACAAGGGGCAGAAGAGATATAGGATCATAGAATAGGATATAGGAATAGGATCATAGGATCATAGGATCATGGAGGAATCAAATGAGGATTTTTTTGAGGACGGGAGAGCCATGGACTTGTCTGTAAACAGTAAGGGAGAAGCCAGCAGACAGAGAGAGAGACTGAGGATAAGCGACTGAGTCACAGCAAATAATCCAGAAAGCCAATAATACCTGTACATAACCCAGAGCTGACTGTAATTATATTAGTGACTGCGGATTACTCATTGCGATTCAAAACCACATGCTAAATATCTAGGAACTCAGTTACTTGAAAAGGATAAATCTGAACAAAGGAGCTTGTGTATATACTTAAGTACTGTGTATCCTGATTTATATAAAGAGATCCACTCCTGAGAGATTATGAATAAATTAAATTTTGGTAAACTAAACCCTATATTCCTGTATTACACACCAGAACTTTTTGAAAGAAACTCTGGTTCAGCCCCTCACTCACAGTCCCTAATGGATCTCCCAGCATCTAGCCTCCATCCTTACCAATCCATTTTCCACACAGCTAGCTGCCAAACTGACTACTTAAGCATGTATCTGACCCTGTCACTTCTCTGCTCAGAAAGCCTTGTTATTCCCTCTAGAAGAATACATGACTTCTCAGTTTGGGCATTTAAAACCTTTCACAATCTAGTTCCAAACTGTCTTTCCAGGCTGATTACACAGTCCTCCCCTAATGCATTATAAGTTCTAGTTACCTGCTACTTATTCCTTGTATACAACATTCTATATGTCCATTCACCATTCTGCTCCTAATGCCCTCCTTACCTTCACTGCTTGGAGCTACTCACTCACTTTGAGACTCAGCTCAAAAGCCATCTTCTACAAATCTTTCTTGATTTCTCCCAATTATTAGTACCCATTACCCAGAAACTACTTTGCATTTATTTTGTATATATTTGGAATTTATTTATCAGTGTATATACTGTATCCCTCTCCTCTCTTTCCCATTTAATCTCCATGAGGGCAGAGCCTTATCACCCCTATCACAGTACCTAAATCATAGTAAGCACATAATAAATACTTGTTTAATTGAATTGAACCCTCATAAAAAATCCTTTTATAATTTAAATAATTATCTAATAATTTGCTTCCTAAATTTCAGAACTATATAATAAAGTCAGTCTTTGAAACACTGATACCCAACTTAAAAACATCTCTTATACACAAAATGTCACTACAGGAGGTCCCTCTTGTCACCACTACTCTATCATGAGAAAGATTCCCATCCTAAGTCCAAATGACGGACTGTGGGTGAGGGGCCAAACTAGGGTTCCTTTCAAAAAGGATTACTGTGTAATATGTCAATGGGAAATAGCCTAATAGAAGAGGTATTAATTTTTCACTTACTTGAATTAAATCAGAAGACAGTAGAGAAGTATGTCAACAGGAAATAGCCTAATAGAAGAGGTATTAATTTTTCACTTACTTGAATTAAATCAGAAGAGAGTGGAAAAGGGCAGAAAATAATCTCTCCAGGTTTGGGTAGCTGGGAATGGAGATGCCATTAAAGACTGCCCTCCATTGCTAGGGTGCTATGGACAGGAACAGGGCTCCCCTGGCAGTGAGGAAAAGTCAGAAAGAATGCTTTTACAGAGGCTGGGGGAGATGTGTTCTTAGCTTCTGCAAAGTCACAGTTGGAACTTGGAATGTCTTCCAATAGAAGAGAGAAAAGTACTAAACAGTTAGCTAACATCATTGATTAAATCTGGGAATGGATCTGGGAACCTAACTGCCATTTATAACACTGTTTCTTTGGATACAATTCAAGTTCCAGAGAACCATCTCACAAATGTACTTTTGGAACACAACCTATTATAAATTGGGAACCAACTAAATGAATGAAGAGAGCACAGCTGAGCGCTCCTCAGGGTCAAATCATTTTTTGGATTAGCTGTTAGATTGTGTTTGTATCTTCTATGTTATCTCAGGTCAGAAAGTCAAACAAAACAGCTAATCCTTTTTTGTTTAGGGATGTTAAAAAAAAAGCTGAAAGTTTCCTATCTAGGACTTCTAAGTGTGTGGATAGAACAGATGACATCAGTAAAGCATGCCCAAGCAAAAAACAACAGAATGAGATCACAGATTTTTAACCTGCCAGGACCTTAGAGAACATCTAAAGTTCGATCAACCTTCTTTTACAAATGAGGAAACTAAGGCTAAAAGAGGTTAAGTTACTTGGCTCAAATCAAACCAGTGGTAAGTGGCAAACCTGGGATTTGAACATGTGTCCTCTCACTCCAACGACATGTTTCATGGTACTATGGTGCCTCCAAAAGGTTGCTGGATTTGGCATCAGAGAACCTGGGTTCAAACGCTGGTGGATGTTGCTTCCTGCTGCCCTATCAGCTAACCTAGCTAGCTTACACTTGCCTCATCTGTAAAATGAGGGAAATTAGTCTAAATGTCATCTATGGTCCTTCCTGCTTTAGATCTATGATTCCATGAACAAGTTTGGAATATTCTG